TGACCCCCGAAACCCTCTACAGGTATACTCAATTACAAAGATTTTCATACATAGCAGCATATGTATAGAGAACCTGGGATAACCCAACAAGTCAGAGTGACTTAGTTCAGTAGCTACAGAAGTTTGAAAGGTTACAGTCCAGCAGGACTCGAGCTACTGTTCAACACCTTTCAAACTGCATTAAGTAATTAGGTGAGTTTATATAGGAAGAGCTGCACATAAGTATAATTATCATATATAATAACATCCCTGGTAACATAACCCAAAAAAAGTCAGAGACATATTTCAACTATTTATATTCTCGCCCCAATACATTATTCTTACGAATAATTCATTTAGTTAATAATTAGCCAATTGAACGACCCTTGTGTGATAATCACTTAGTATAATAATTAGCCAATATAATGTTATGAGTCAGTTCCTGGGTACATTATATGACTCAGAAATATTTTGACCATCACCTACAGGTACAATGTGCGTAATGTGCCAATTAAATCATAGGCCTAACTGTTTTACTAAGGTTTACGCAATATTAAACATAATTAACCTATTTGAAAAACTTTAATTAAGCGTTTTGCTCGGGGAATCTTAGTGATTTGCCTTAATACTAACGAATTTTAAATTATATTGTGTTTTGGTGGTCAGAAAACAGAACGATGTCTCCTGACACTGAGAAATATACCTCCAGGTATATTTGAATGTTTTAGGTTAGGTAACCCCTCAAGGAAGGTTCCTTGATGTTGGTGAGGGGCTCTTAATTTAGGGAATTGGATCTGTGCTCCAGTTCCCCGAATTAAGCCTGAATGCCTTCCACATCCCCCCCCCCCCCAGGCGCTGTATAATCCTCCGGGTTTAGCTCTTCCCCCTTGATTATAATAATAATAATTAGGTTAGGTAAGGTTTGTTAGGCAACAGGATAAGTGTTTTCTGACGCGGGTCTTAGACGATGACCCGCTGTTGGAGATTTTGGTCATCTGACCGAGGCCTTCTGCTGGCTTTCCAGTCCACCTCTTTAAAAAACCTATGGTCATACCTGGAGTATACCTGGAGAGGGTTTCAGGGGTCAACGTCCCCGCGGCCTGGTCTGTGACCAGGCCTCATGGTGGATCCGGGCCTGATCAACTAGGCTGTTACTGCTGGGGCCGCACGTAACCCGATGTAGGAACTACAGCCCGGCTGGTCAGGTACTGACTTTAGGTGCCTGTCCAGTGCCTTCTTGAAGACAGTCAGGGGTCTTGAAGACAGTCAGGGGTCTTGAAGACAGTCAGGGGTCTTGAAGACAGTCAGGGGTCTTGAAGATAGCCAGGGGTCTTGAAGACAGCCAGAGGTCTTGAAGACAGTCAGGGGTCTTGAAGACAGTCAGGGGTCTTGAAGACAACCAGAGGTCTTGAAGACAGTCAGGGGTCTTGAAGATAGCCAGGGGTCTTGAAGACAGCCAGAGGTCTTGAAGACAGTCAGGGGCCTTGAAGACAGTCAGGGGTCTTGAAGACAGCCAGGGGTCTTGAAGACAGTCAGGGGTCTTGAAGGCAGCCAGGGGTCTTGAAGACAGTCAGGGGTCTTGAAGACAGTCAGGGGGTCTTGAAGACAGCCAGGGGTCTTGAAGACAGCCAGGGGTCTTGAAGACAGCCAGGGGTCTTGAAGACAGTCAGGGATCTATTGGTAATCCCCCTTATGTATACTGGGAGGTAGTTGAGCAGTCTTGGGCCCCTGACACTTATGGTGCTAGTAGCATCCCTCTGCCAAGTCTTTTGCTTTCATAGAGAGTGATTTTCGTGTGCAAGTTTGGTACAAGTCCCTCTAGGATTTTCCAAGTGTATATAATCATTTATCTCTCCCGCCTGCGTTCTACATAATTATAATTATTTCTTAAGTAAGATGGGTGTTGACGGCTGACGAGATGATAGAGATTACTGAGGGAAAGTAGGTCGTAAGTCCAAGGTCATCCATCACGCTCAGATGGTCAATACTTATTTTTATAGGTAACTCGTGTCTTTTGTGCTTTAGGTTGCTGTTCGACACTCGAGGTGTGCACTCAGTCATTCGAGGTGCACAGTCACTCGAGGTGCACAGTCACTCGAGGTGCACAGTCACTCGAGGTGCACAGTCACTCGAGGTGCACAGTTACTCGAGGTGCACAGTCACTCGAGGTGCACAGTCACTCGAGGTGTGCACTAATGTATATAATACAACACCTGGGTGTGTAGTAGTAATCATGTTTATTTCTAGCAGTACATGATACAACTTAAACAGATCAGAGCTGACAACAATTAATCAATCAATCAATCAGTCAATCAATCAAGTTTATTCTCTATAAGGATTACAATGTGGGGTTTACAGATTTTTGGATTTTGTGTGGTTTACATGTAATAAAATACTAATTACAGAGGGGGCCACTAGGCATTTCGGGCAAACTTAGATTAATTCTTAACCCTAAATTATCACAAATTGTGGAGCAAGTTGACTAAATACTAAGTGACTAAATACTAGTTTGTGAGTTTAGCAATGTGAATGCTTTTGTTTTGGCACAGTACAAAGTGTCTATATTGGAGTATCATAGGCAAACTTATGACTAGTTAGGATTTATTATTTTAAGATTAAGATTAGTATTTCTGGGTTTATAGTCAGTGGTTTAGTTAGTTTAGTTTAATATGTTTATTATGCACCAGTGGGTGAGTGTAATTGTGAACCACCAGGTGGTTATCATGTAGTTAGTTGACGGGGTGTATCAGGGAGATAAGATGTTTTCTGATGGTAGTTTTGAAAGTGATGAATGTGTCTGCAGTTCTAGAGTTCTCAGGTAGGGTGTTCCAGATTTTAGGGCCTTTGACATACATTGAATTTTTGTAAAGGTTTAGTCGGACACGGGGAATGTCGTAGAGATGTTTGTGTCTGGTGTTATGCCTGTGGGTTCTGTCACAGCTATCAAGAAAGCGTTTTAGGTCAAGGTTAATATTGGAATTTAAGGTCCTGTAGATATAGATTGCACAGTAGTAAGTGTGGATGTACTGAACAGGGAGTAAATTAAGATCTATGACATATTATATAGAAAGTTCCTGGTTATGTAGAGCATTTCTGGCAACTTAGGTTAATATTGTTCCCAGGATGTCACCCACACCAGTCAACTAACACCCAGGTACCTACTTACTGCTAGGTGAACAGTGACTGCAGGCATAAGATAACTAACACCCAGGTACCTACTTCCTGCTAGGTGAACAGTGACTGCAGGTATAAGATAACTAACACCCAGGTACCTACTTACTGCTAGGTGAACAGTGACTGCAGGTATAATATAACTAACACCCAGGTACCTACTTCCTGCTAGATGAACAGGGACTGCAGGTATAAGATAACTAACACCCAGGTACCTACTTCCTGCTAGGTGAACAGGGACATCAGGTGTCTTAAGGAAACACGTCCTAATGTTTCCACCCTTACCGGGAATCGAACACTGACATCAGTATCTTTAAATTACCCTATTTGGGTTTAACGCTTTATTGTGACTATACTAAGATCCCTTTTCAAGAAGTACCTTGATGTTGGTGAAGTATTCTTGATCCAAGGATATGGAGCCAAACTCATTTTGGATCAAAGCGGAACACCTCCCATTCCCCAGTGTTGTATAACCCTTGCGGGTTTAGCGATTTCCTATGAATATTTGCTCGCTCTCTCTCTCTCTCTCTCTCTCTCTCTCTCTCTCTCTCTCTCTCTCTCTCTCTCTCTCTCTCTCTCTCTCTCTCTCTCTCTCTCTCTCTCTCTCTCTCTCTCTTACCATTATTTTCCTGTCCCCAAATTTTTATTATCAATTATCATTATTATTATATGTTAATAGAAAGCGCTAAACTCACAGGAGTCATACAGCTCCTGGGGAGTGCGAGTAATAAGGTTTGATCCGAGGAAGAGTAATATAGCTCTAGCTACTAAGATCAAGAGCCCTTCTCCAGGCTCTGGTGGCCTGGTGGCTAACGCTCTCGCTTCACACGGCGAGGGCCTGGGTTCGATTCCCAGCCAGAGTAGAAACATTGGACGTGTTTCTTTCCACCTGTTGTCTATGTTCCCCATCAGTAAAATGGGTACCTGGGTGTTAGTCGACTGGTGTGGGTCGCATCCTGGGACACTGACCTAATTTGCCCGAAATGTACCGAAATGCGGAGCATAACAAGGGACTTTCTATATAGTAGTATGTCATTGTTGTCAGCTAGGACTGTATACCTTGTACATGTACTTGTAGTAAATAAAGATATTATTATTATTATTATTATTATCAAGGTGAACCAGTATTATTGAAGATTTTTTCTTGAGTTACCCATCAAAAAATATTTGATTGTTAATTTTGACCATTTTGACAATTATTTTGACCCATTATGTGAATTTTGACCATTTTGACAATTATTTTGACCCATTATGTGAATTTTGACCATTTTGACAATTATTTTGACCCATTATGTGAATTTTGAATATTTTGATAATTATTTTGACCCATTATGTGAATTTTGAATATTTTGATAATTATTTTGACCTATTATATATTATATATTATTATTATGTTGTTAAATATACCAGCGATTGATTTTACAAATGTGATTTCAGTAAAAATAGCATAAAATTTTTATATCTTTTGAAAAATTTCTGGATTTTAATAATAGTTATGGTAAGCCAGTGGAAGGTTTCGGTCAGATGACCAAAAGCTTCACCTATGGGTCATATAAAGGAACATTGGTCCTGTTTCCTGACAACTTTACCTTATCAAGTTACCTGACGACCCTAACCTTATTAAGTTTCCCGATGTCCCTAACCTTAAGTTACCTGACGACCCTAACCTTCCTAAGTTACCTGACGACCCTAACCTTCCTAAGTTACCTGACGACCCTAACCTTCCTAAGTTACCTGACGACCCTAACCTTCCTAAGTTACCTGACGACCCTAACCTTCCTAAGTTACCTGACGACCCTAAGTTTCCCGACAAAGCCTAACTTAATATATGTCTAACTTTTCAGTAATAACGGTAGAGTGAGCAGTAATACCATCGCCACACCCTTGTTCGTCACACACTGATTGGCAACGCTGCTGGTAGCATCACTGAACTGAAGCCTCAGTGTAGTCTACTGAAGCCTCAATGTAGTCTACTGAAGCCTCAGTGTAGTCTACTGAAGCCTCAGTGTAGTCTACTGAAGCCTCAGTGTAGTCTACTGAAGCCTCAGTGTAGTCTACTGAAGCCTCAGTGTAGTCTACTGAAGCCTCAGTGTAGTCTACTGAAGCCTGTAATGCAATAGAATGAAGCATAATTACAGTTTCCTGAAACCTTCAATGTATCGGAGGTTGAAACCCTCGGTGTGTCTAAGCTGAACTATGTTTGTACCGTCTACTGAAGCTGGTAGTACCGTAATATCTCATTGGTCCCTGGGGAGATTCAGTGACTCAAGGTCCCTGGGGAGATTCAGTGACTCAAGGTCCCTGGGGAGATTCAGTGACTCAAGGTCCCTGGGAAGATTCAGTGACCCAAGGTCCCTGGGGAGATTCAGTGACTCAAGGTCCCCGGGAAGATTCAGTGACTCAAGGTCCCTGGGGAGATTCAGTGACTCAAGGTCCCTGGGAAGATTCAGTGATTCAAGGTCCCTGGGGAGATTCAGTGGCTCAAAGTCCCTGAGAAGATTCAGTGACTCAAGGTCCCTGGGAAGATTCAGTGATTCAAGGTCCCTGGGGAGATTCAGTGGCTCAAAGTCCCTGGGAAGATTCAGTGACTCAAGGTCCCTGGGAAGATTCAATGACTCAAGGTCCCTGGGGAGATTCAGTGACTCAAGGTCCCTGGGAAGATTCAGTGACTCAACGTCACCTGGAACATCAGTGGCTCTCGTGACCCCTGGAAACAGCGACTCTCACACTTGTAACAGCGACCACTGGAAGCAACCTTCCAGTGTAGGAACACTGGAGAAATAGTCGCCACTCGAGTGTCAGTTCAAAAACAATTTGAACATTTCCCCTTCCAAAGAGACGGAGGTAAAGCACATACAAATAGGAAAAAAACAGCAGTGATAACAGTGAAATCAAACAAGACTGTGTACCACTGAAAAATACAAGTGTATCCTCAGTGACCTTCCAGTCGGAGCTCGGACAAAATCCACTGGAAGAGATCTAAGTGTTTGGATAAATCATCTCATCATCCATCATGGTCAAACTTCTTGAAGTATTCCTTGTCTTCTGTCTGGTAAGTAATTGTACAGCTCTTTTTCACAGTATGCAAAGTAACCACAGTGAAAACAATAGTGAAATTCCATGCGCTTTCGTGATTTCTCTCGTTATCATATTGATAACTGAAAAATTACGAAAACACTTACATTTTCACTATTTTTTTTCACTGTGTGTGTGTATGTGTGTGTGTGTGTGTGTGTTATAATTTTTTGTGAGTAAATGAGTCCAGGCAAGGCGCTGATTTTATACTGTATAAGCTTATTCTTGATTCTGGCGTAGGAGAGTGGATGTTAGCGATGAAGAATGGAGAAAATAGAAATGGATGAAGGAAAGAAATGGAGGGGGAGCTTAATAAGTAGTGCTTTGGTTAGTTCTTCCTGATAATAATAATAATAGCAATAATGATAACGATGATAAAGATGACCATGTCTGCGATAATAAGGGTGATGATATTCTTCTCCAGGTGACAGCTTCTGCGAGGGAGAATAAGGAAGGATGTGATGACAGCGATGTGGTGGTGAAGGCTACACAAGGGAAGCTTGTGATGCTCAGGCGCAGTGCCTTGAGCCATGCTTCGCCGAAGTTGCTTGGCGTCACTTATCCCTCCCTTCGCCACACTCCTGCCCAGGGTAGCAGTAGACCCCGAGGTTGTGGAGACGATAATACAGCGTGGACAGCCGGCAGGAGGCTGGGGAAGGTAAATATAGCTGGGAAAACGAAGGAAAGTCGTGGTACTGGAATATACCTGGAGAGGGTTTCGGAGGTCAACGCCCCCGTGGCCCGGTCTGTGACCAGGTCACAGCAGCAAGTCTTAGCAGGTGTTAGCGATTCGGGTCAGAGGGATGTTCGATGTAATGGACCAGGAAGCAGATGTTCCTTACGTAAGAAAAGGGAAACGGAGGAGGAAGGAACTGTTGGTGAGGAAGGGGCAGCAAAAGGAGACAGTAATGAAAAGAACGAAGAGGAGCTGCCTGAACCAGAAGCACTAGCCTGGATAAACCCAGGTCGGCTGGCTAGTCAAGGAGTGGCCATGGAAAACGTCCCATCCCTGGCGAACCTGATGGGACTGCGTGTGGTGAAGTTCAAGACCCCACAACAGCAGCAGCAGCACTTTCAGGCGCCATACAGACCACAGTCTCACCCAAAGCCACAGCTTCCCGAAGCAAACCATCTACCAACAGCACAAAATCCTTTCTCCAGGTTTGACAAGAACGACCAAGCTTTCATGACCACATTTCACGACAACTTCGACAGGTACTACAAGAGTTTCAACTCGCAGGAGGCTCCTGGTGTACACAGCGTCAATAGCCACGGCCGCAGGCCTGTAGAAACCAGCAGCTACAATATCCCGCCTCCTCGAAGCGCATTTCCCGCCACTGCATTCAAATTCCCTAAAGGGGGCGCGCAGCCCCAACCTCACCCACCAAACAACTTTGTCCGTCCGTCCTACTCCAGTCTGGGCACTGCTGCCGACTCCTTGATGCAATTCCTCAACCCGTTTAATATGCTGGGATCCAACCAGTTCCCCCAATTACCTCGCTACCCATACCCTGCCCCGCACCCAAACCATGACCCCCGTAGACCACACCATGAAATGAAGGAAATACATCATGGGGATGTTAAATATGAGGTAGTGAAGGATACCAACCAAGATCTATACAAAGGATACCAGTTTAAAGAGGACTCCCCTCTGAGAGACGACCTCTATATAGGTCAAGATGGCAACATCTACCTGAAAGACGATTCTACCTCATACAAAAATCCCAGTGGAAAGAATCAGTTTGGAAATGATGGCAGTCCATCCCAAAGTGATAGTGGTGAGAGACTGCCACCCTCACCACCAGAAGGACGCTTTGAAGACGAGGCCTCGAATTCCTTCGAGGAGGACTACGAGGAAGACTTCGAAAACGACTACGAAGAAGAGTCTAGTTATTCGCAACTGCTGGAAAATCATAACATGGACGAACAGTATTCAGAAAACCCTCCAAACTCTATCCAGAATTTTAGTCCTGACTATTTTGAAAATAGTCTCGAAATACCACTCATAGAGCAACCTAATTTGGATCGACCTAATCCATTCCAGCAGTCTCGCTATCCGAATCTAGAAAATAATCCGTACTTAATTCGTACGCCTCCCAACTCTTTCCTGAATTCTGGCCTCTTCAGTTGGTTGTTCTCCCCACACGCACGTACCAGCTACCCCACCTACTATTATAACCCCAGGGAAATCTTGCTACCCAGGTTCAGGTACCAGACGGGACCCTGGTCACGTCTCTCAAACTCTTTCCCAGTATCTGACACCCCAGATGTGAACTATGCACGACCTTCATTACCTTCCTATGGAGCTCTACCGCCCCCACCACCTTCCCCTGGAGCTCCACGATCCCCACTACCTTCCCCTGGAGCTCCACCATCCCCTGGAGCTCCACGACCCCCACCATCATCCCCTGGAGCTCCACGACCCCCACCACCATCCCCTGGAGCTCCGCGACCCTTACCACCTTCCCCTGGAGCTCAACGACCCCTATCACCTTTCCCTGGAGTTCCACGACCCCTACCACCTCCACCGTCACCTCCAAAAACCGCCGGCCCTCCACGACCCTTACTAAACCCTACAAATGTACGATCCCAACACCAACAGCAACCCTCACGACCCCAGTTTCCAAATCCCCTGCCACCTCGTTCTCCAAAACCACGCCCACCCATACCCCGACCCTCGCAAGCTGAGCTGTATCCTCACCCATCTATCCGAACTCCACCAGACGTTCCAACGAAGCATCATCATCCAGGCGGAGTCCACAGCGGGGCAAACTTCGAGCAAGGCCGCGAGTCGGCAACAGGCTTCTACCCCGGCAATGGTTTTTTCCAAACGGATTTCCCCACGCTGTTCCACATGGCCTCTTCCCAGAGGAAGAGTATCGTAGAAGAGCTGCCTAGGCCGATGGGGCAGAATGCAACAGCTATACCACCAGGTGATGAGGAATAAACACTAGGATGTCTTGCATTGTGTGTTGATGAGCGTCGCTAAAATTATCAGGGTGCAACCACTTCATGGGTCAAATTAGCGCTGGATGACCTTTTATTTTTTCAACATTTCCTCGGAATGCACTGTAATAGTTATTTTACAGTGGCAGGAGAAAATTTGCCAAGGTGGGGACCCACGAGAGGGAATTTGTCCCACAGCAAGATTTTCCCTCCATCCTACGTAGGTTGACATTTCACCGATAGGACATCCAGTTCTGGTCCAAGAACTGGAGTTAAGGAGAACGAAGCAAACAGAAGACAGGTCCAAGAACTGGAGCTAGAGAACCAGCACAGACGGAAGACGGATCCCAACGGTTCCAAGACAGCACAAACAGAGGACAACCTCATCGGCCATTGGAAAATGTGAAGACAGATCTTAACGACCATATCCAAGACCGAAGCTAAAAACAAGAGCACAAATGGAAGCCTCATCCATCAAGGCTGTTCCAGAAACAGATGATGAACAAGCAGCACCAACTTCACTGAAGTCAATGTTTAAAAGGCGCATGTGTTTCCCTGTCTCCTAATATCGTGTTTATTTCCCCCCTATAAACTACCTTGCCCATAATTACTATCATATTTCCTTTGTTTCGTAAGGTGAAGTCCAGGACCTTAATTCATGGTATAACTTAACAAATCTGAGAACAATTGTGTTGTAGAGGTCTGAGCTTTGCTCACACCTCTTGTTTCTCATCCTCATATCTGACATAGACAAGGTAGATTATATGGGCCAGACCCTAATCCACCATGAGGCCTGGTCTCAGACCGAGCCACGGGGGCGTTAACCCCCTGAAACTCTCTCCAGGTAAACTCCAGATATTAGAAGACAGGTAAACTGATGCACCCCTTAAATTTACATATTTCCTGGAACAATGAATGTTAGAAAATAAAATTATGAACGGGTCATGTAAACAAGTTTTGAGTAAAAAATATGACTAATGATAAAAGTTACATTTAAACTCAATATTAATACGTGTACGCGAATAAGAAAAATGCATATAATTTTAATTTCAAACAAGAATTTTGAAATTGGGTCCACAAGCAAATTTAGACAGGGCTGAAAATAGAAAAATATGGGCACATGTATTACGCAGAAAAAGTGTACATATGCCTTAATTAGTATACATGTATATATATATATATATATATATATATATATATATATATATATATATATATATATATATATATATGTAAGGTGTACGCGTTTAGCGATGTATGTGTTTAGCGACGTACGTGTTTAGTGTCGTACGTGTTTAGTGACGTATTCAAATTCAAATTCAAAGTTTATTCTCTATAAAGATTACAATGTTGAATTTACAGAATTTGGTTATTGTGTGGTTTACATGTAGTTAAATAATGATTACAGAGTGTACCACTAGAACGCCTAGCATGGCTAGGCATTTCGGGCGTTTAGTGACGTACGTGCTTAGCGACGTACGTGTTTAGTGACGTACGTGCTTAGCGACGTACGTGTTTAGTGACGTACGTGTTTAGTGACGTACGTGTTTAGTACCGTACGTGTTTAGCGATGTATGTGTCTAGCGACGTACATGTTTAGCGACGTACATGTTTGGCGACGTACGTGTTTAGTGATGTACTTGAATACTTTCCTGTGATATCAATTTATATAATTGTAACCCTCTTCAAGGTAGGTTCCTCGATGCTGATGAGGGGCTCTTGATTCAAGGAATTGGACCTGTGCTCCAATTTCTGGAATTAAACCTGAATGCAGTCCCCCCCCCTACCCAAAGGCACCGTATGACCCTTACGGGTTCAGCTCTTCCCATGAACGTAGCAGCAGTAGTAGTAGTAGTAATAATAATAATAATAATAATAATAATAATAATAATAATAATAATAATAACAAAATATAATTATATTTGTACGTACATTGTTGGTTATTAAGATATTTATTTATTTCAATATTTATTTATGCACATTAGGCTTTTTTTTTATATAGCGGTGTGTGACCCTAGTGGGTTTAGCGCTTAGATGGATAACTGTGGTAAAACTGTTATCACTTGACTCAAGAAATCGTAATGACACGATTGCAAACAAACCATACCCCCGGCCGGGATTGAACCCGCGGTCATAGAGTCGGGCTGGAGTTTTGAGACTCTATGACCGCGGGTTCAATCCCGGCCGGGGGTATGGTCTGTTATCACTTGTTATGTTCAGGTATAAAAAATATTTTGTCAGAATTGTTGAATAAATTGTTAAAACGATAATTTTGCTGTTTAATAAAAGGAATATCTGGGGTATACCTGGAGAGGGTTTCGGGGGGTCAGCGCCCCCGTGGACCGGTCTGTGACCAGGTCACGTGATGGATCAGGTCCTGATCAAAATGTCTGAGCATCAGACCTCTACAATATAATTGTCCCCAAAGATTTGTTAAGTTATACCATGAATTAAGGAAAGATCCTGGACTTTACCTTACGAAAGTAGGCAACACAAATTCGGCAGTAATTATGGATAAGGGAGATTACAGGGGGGGGGGGAGAATAACATTAGAAAACAGGGGCACTGACGTGCCCCTTAAAACTTCAGGTTGGAACGAGTGAACTCCAACAAAGGAGACGTGAATGTATGTACCCGGCAATATTGCCGGGTAATATAAGTAGATTAGGCTCAGTAAGATATGTCAGGAAACACGGGATTTGTTGCCAGACTCTTGCTGTATAATCCTCCGGGTTTAGCGCTTCCCCTTTGATTATAATAATAATAATAATGTTGCCTGACTCGGCCCCTCAAGGGAGGTTCCTTGATGCTGGTGAGGGGCTGTTGAATTCCATGAATTAAGCCTGAATACCTTATATTCCCATCCACAGGCGCTGTATAATCCTACGGGTTTAGCGCTTCCCCCTTGATTATAATAATAATGCTAATAGTTTCCTGTCTCGGGTGTTAGTCATATAACGACCCGCCACTGAAGTTGCTGGTCGGCGTGGGTGTCCGGATCAAATTTAAAACTTCTAGCTTCTGTTTCTACTTACAAAGGAACTATTGTTCATTTTTCCTTCATGGCCCAGTCTTGGGCAACAAAGCTATATATCCCTTGTAAGTTTAGCTCTTCTCTTTGATAATAATAATAAATTAGGCAACAAATAAAATATAATAAAAATTTTGTTAAGTTATACCATGAATTAAGGAAAGATCCTGGACTTTACCTTACGAAAGTAGGCAACACAAATGCGGCAGTAATTATGGATAAGGGAGATTACAGGGGGGGGGGGAGAATAACATTAGAAAACATTGGATAACTGTGTCCCCTCAAGGAAGGTTCCTTGATGTTGGTGAGGGGCTCTTGATTTAGGGAATTGGATTTGTGCTCCAGTTCCCCGAATTAAGCCTGAATGCCTTCCACATCCCCCCCCAGGCGCTGTATAATCCTCCGGGTTTAGCGCTTCCCCTTGATTATAATAATAATGGATAACTGTGGTAAAACTGTTATCACTTGACTCAAGAAATCGTAATGACACGATTGCAAACAAACATCTAACCGCGCTGAGAACATTAGTCAGTCAGGCATCATTACCACAGGTCTTAGTGATCATTTCATCATTTACTGCACCAGGAAAATCACTAGGGATAGGGTAGGCCTACACAGGACAATAAAAATGAGGTCAACTAGAAACTACAGTAAAGAAACACTGGTAAATAGGCTACACAATTGTGACTGGACAGAGATAACAAGTTGCAGGGACGTAAACGATGCCTGGGAAAAATTCAAAACAATGTTCACTACCATTCTTAATAATATTGCACCAGTTAAAGAGGTTAGGATTAAACGAAGAACTGAACCCTGGATGACTACTGAGATATTAAATAATATGAAATTCAGAGACCAGCTGCTAAAAAGATTTAAAGCAAACAGACAGGATATTGCAGCACTAAATGAATTCCAAAGGGTGAGGAACAGAGTACAGAGACTTATAAAAGGAGCAAAGGCAAAACACTATTGCTCAAAAATTGAAGAGTATAAGCATAACCCCAGAAAGCTCTGGCAACAACTAAAACAGTTGGGGTATAGCCATAAGCCAGTAGATAGGTCTAACATAGTACTCACTATCGATAATGAGGTATGCCACGAAACATCTAAGGTGGCAAATTGCTTTAATTCCTACTACACATCTGTTGTATCAACACTAGTAAGTAAACTACCAGCTGCATCAAATACCTTTAACACAGACTCTGATAAGTTTCAAACATACTATACCAATAAAGGGGTAACCCCAAACAGTTGTCAACTAGTAAGTGTATCTCATGACTTTATTCAAAAAGAACTAAGCAGGTTAAACCCAACTAAGAGCACAGGCCCTGATAACATCCCGTCTAAGTTCCTAAAAGATGGTGCTTCTGAACTGTCAATCCCTATTGCTCACATAATAAATCTATCAATCACCACTAATACCGTACCGGAGGGGTTCAAGGAGGCCAGAGTTACTCCTATCTTCAAGAAAAATAGTAGGTCTGATGTCAGCAACTATAGGCCTGTTAGTATACTCAGTATATCTAAAATTCTAGAGAGGGCGGTGTATTCTCAAGTAGTTAAAGTACCTTAATAACAACAACATTCTCCATAGCTATCAATCGGGCTTTAGAAGATCCTACTCAACCGACACCTCCCTAATTAATCTGATGGATTACCTGAGAACTGAAATGTCAAAGGGAACCTCATAGGTATGGTAACCTTAGACCTGCAAAAGGCCTTCGATACAGTCAACCACAATATATTATGTAATAAACTTCAAGCTATCGGTATAGGTTCTGTAGACTGGTTTAAGTCCTACCTTAGCAACAGGAGACAAATAGTCAAAATCAACAAAACAGAATCAGAACCCCTGCCGATAACATGTGGAGTTCCCCAAGGTAGTATTCTGGGTCCCTTATTATTCTTATGTTATGTCAATGACATACCTATCAGTGTCAAGTGCAAACTCCTACTGTATGCAGATGACAGTGCTCTGTTAGTGTCAGGTAAAGACCCACAAGATATAGCTAATGTTTTAACACTGGAACTGGAGTCCTGCAGCAAATGGTTAGTAGACAACAAACTATCATTACACCTAGGGAAAACTGAAGCCACTCTCTTTGGCACGAAACATAAACTGAGAAGGGTAAATAATTTTAATGTCCAGTGTAATGGGGAGCCCATCACTTTGGTTTCATCAGTAAAATATTTGGGAATCCCCTTTGACCCATGCATGTCAGGAGAATTGATAGGGAACAGTGTAGTAAAGAAAGCGAATGCCAGACTGAAGTTCCTGTATAGACAAGCACAGTGTCTACCTACTGAGGCTCGCAGGACCCTATGTCTAGCCCTTATACAATGCCATATGGATTACGCTTGCTCTTCATGGTACTCTGTCTTGACAAAAAAAACTGAAAGATAGACTGCAAATCACCCAGAACAAAATCGTAAGATTCATCCTGGGGCTGGGACCAAGAGAACATGGAGGCCAGGATGAATTACAGCAGTTGGATATGCTGAATGTTGAAGACAGAGTAAAACAACTGAAGCTAAATCATGTTTATAAAATTGCTCACGAACAATGTCCAGAATATCTTGCTGTCAATTTTGTCAAGGTTGGGAACCAAAGCAATCATAGTACTAGGTGGAGAGAGCACAACTTTGTAGTACCCACAGTCATTGGCCAGGCGTCAAACACCTTTTATTGTACAGCAATAAAGGAATGGAACAGACTGCCCGCACATGTCAAAGCCAGTCATAGCATGAACCAGTTCAAGAAGACTGCAAAAAGGTGTCTGATGAATGTAGCTACAGAAAGGGAGGGGAATGATTTTCTATTTTTTAGCTAACATACGTGTAAATTTTACCATATTCCTAGTAATGACCCTCGTATTGTAGATAGTCTTGATGACCCTCGTGTAGTAAATAGTCTTTTTAGTATGATAATGAGATGTTATCTTCATTGTAGAATAATAAGAAAATATTATAACCTTTATATTATAATAATAAGGTAAAAGGACCCCAATGGAAATAAGTCACTCTGTCTGACTTTTTTGGGTTATCCCAGGTTCTCTACACACATGCTGCTATGTATGATAATTCTATGTAACTGTATTTGTGTATACCTGAATAAACTTACTTACTTACTAAATCTTTGCATAATATCGGGAAGTCGGGTTCATTACGGCGTAACCCGTCAGTGGCCCTTATGAACCCCAAACAAACAAACAATCCTGACTCGTGCAGGATAAAAGATTTATTACTCATTCATTTAAGAGTTATAGCCCAGATAAACCCAACAAACATTAAGAGTTAACCTCCAAGTGGACGAAGAAGATAAAATGGTGTACCTGGACGACATGAGGACGTATTTCCACTCTCATAATAAGCAGAAAGAATACGTGGGACACAACTCTAAGGTTCATACTATTGGCTGGAATGCTGATGGTCGCCGCCTGGCGTCAGGATCTTATGATAAATGTGTCACTATATTTGTTTTTGATGGTCACCGCGAGACACTGGTGAGGAATTTATTATGTTATTTGTTTTATGTTGTAAGTGGTGATAATGTTGAGTATGATTTGTAACACTAGGGGGTGGGGGGGGGGGGGGTTCCTCAGGGGAGGGTCCTTGATGCTGGTGGGGGTTGCTCATGGGAGGGTCCTTGATGCTGCTGGGGGTTGCTCAGTGGAGGATCCTTGATGCTGGTGGGGGTTCCTCAGGGGAGGGTCCTTGTTGCTGCTGGGGGTTCCTCAGGGGAGGGTCCTTGATGCTGCTGGGGGGTTCCTCAGGGGAGGGCCCTTGATGCTGGTGAGGATTCTTGATCTAGGTTCCTCAGGGGAGGGTCCTTGATGCTGGTGAGGGGCTCTTGATCTAGGTCCCTCAAGGGAGATTCCTTGATGCTGGTGAGGGGCTCTTGATGTAGGTTCCTCGGGGAGGGTCCTTGATGCTGGTGAGGGGTTCTTGATGTAGGTTCCTCAGGGGAGGGTTCTTGATGCTGGTGATGGGTTCTTGATATAGGTTCCTCAGGGGAGGGTCCTTGATGCTGGTGAGGGGTTCTTGATGTAGGTTCCTCAGGGGAGGGTCCTTGATGCTGGTGAGGGGTTCTTGTAGATTCCTCAGGGGAGGGTCCTTGATGTTGGTGAGGGGTTCTTGAAGTAGGTTGCTCAGGGGAGGGTCCTTGATACTGTGAGGGGTTCTTGATGCAGGTTCCTCAGGGGAGGGTCCTTGATGCTGGTGAGAGGCCCTTGATCTAGGTTTCTCAGGTGAGGGTCCTTGATGCTGGTGAGGGGTTCTTGATGTAGGTTCCTCAGGGGAGGGTTCTTGATGCTGGTGAGTTCTTTATCTAGGTTTCTCAGGGGAGGGTTCTTGATGCTGGTGAGGGGTTCTTGATCTAGGTTCCTCAGGGGAGGGCCCTTGATGTTGGTGAGGGTTCTTGATCTAGGTTCCTCAGGGGAGGGACCTTATGCTGGTGAGGGTTCTTGATCTAGGTTCCTCAGGGGAGGGTCCTTGATGCTGGTGAGGCGCACTTGATCTAGGTCCCTCAAGGGAGATTCCTTGATGCTGGTGAGGGGCTCTTGATCTAGGTCCCTCAAGGGAGATTCCTTGATGCTGGTGAGAGGCTCTTGATCTAGGCCCCTGAAGGGAGGTTCCTTGATGCTGGTGAGGGGCTCTTGATCTAGGTCCCTCAAGGGAGGTTTCTTGATGGTGGTGAGGGGCTCTTGATCTATGTCCCTCAAGGGAGATTCCTTGATGCTGGTGAGGGGCTCATGATCTAGGCCCCTCAAGGGAGGTTCCTTGATGTTGGTGAGGGGCTCTTGATCTAGGGAGTTGGAGCTGTACTCCGGTTCCCTGAATTGAGTCTGAATGCCTTCCCTCACCCCCACATGCACTGTATAATCCTACAGGTTTAGCTCTCCCCCATGATTATAATAATAACCCACTGGGGTTAAAAATCCGAACCAAATCTTATCTATCTTAAGAATTATTGAATTCCTTGGGTGAAATGTTGTGAATTAAAGGAAAGCATCATACTACATTTGTATATGTCCACCACACGACTATTCAACTGCCTCCCAGCATACATAAGGGGGATTACCAATAGACCCCTGGCTGTCTTCAAGAAGGTGCTGGACAGGCTCCTAAAGTCAGTACCTGACTAGCTGGGCTGTGGTTCGTATGTCAGTTTGCATGTGGCCAGCAGTAACAGCCTGGTTGATCAGACCCTGATCCACCACGAGGCTTGGTCTCAGACCGAGCCGCGGGGGAATTGACCTCCGAAATCCTCCAGGTAAATATCATTGTTGATGAAGTGTTTCTCCTGGACTGCAGCTTATCAGCAGAATACAAAGATGAATTACACTCCTGGAGATATCAGCCTTCAAATTCAATTTTTTATTTCTTTTTATGTAGTTTACATATAATAAAACATTGGTAGGCACAAAAGAAAGCCACTACTTTATAATTCATTTTGGGCAAACTATTTCTGATGCTTTAAGACAACTTAAAAATTAGACATCGACGTAAACCTTGCTGGAAGACTGAGTACATCAAACTACATACTTCTCTACTTAACCCTTAAACTGTCCTAGCGTAGATCTACGTTCGCTTGCATAGCGCTCCGAATGTAGATCTACGTTTTTTACATGTTTTCTTATGGAGAAAATCAAGGTTGGAGCACTACACGTGAAAACATAGATCTACGTTTGGACAGTTGAAGGGTTAATCTTCCACTGAGATTGATGTTTCCAGAAGTGTAATGCATCTCTGTATTCTACTGATAAAGCTGTAACACAGGTGAAATGCTTCATCAATGAATATTCCCAGTGTTGCATCCTCAGCTCACACATTGAGGGGTCTGGGATTGATCTACATTATTATTATTATAATCAAAAAAGAGATTGATCCACAGCACAGGTATCCTCTGTTCACCTAGCTTCATGCAGGTGAAATGCTCCTGCTCTTAAAAACTGGAGCCATCTTCCCCTTCCTCAGTTCAAATCTTATTTAACTTCTATTCCCAAGGTACTACAGGAACCCTACAAGTTCGGTACTTTCACATGAATAATATAATAATATACAGTGGTACCTCAAATTTCGAACAGCTCCAAACTCTAACAGTTATGTAAGTGTATTTTTGTAAGTGTTTTTGTAAGTGTATTTTTGTAAGCGTTTTTGTAAGTGTATTTTTGGGGGTCTGAAACGGACTAATCTTATTTACATTATTCCTTATGGGAACAAATTCGTTCGATAACGGCACTCGAACAGCCTTCTGGAACGAATTATGGCCAAAATTTCTACAGGTACATCCAAGTACATGTACAAGGTATACAAACCATAGCTGACATCAGTGACATGCTACTATATAGAAAGCTGCTTGTTATGCAGAGCATTTCTCGCAAATTAGGTCAGTTTTGTCCCAGGATGCGACTCACACCAGTCCGCTAACACCTATGTACCCATTTTTACACTGATGGATGAGCGTGGACAGCAGGTGTCTTATGGAAACATGTCCCTAATGTTTTCCAGCTGTACCGGGGATTCGAACTCTGGACTTCAGTGTGTGAGCTGTGTGTGCTAGCTTTGATGTTAGCAAAATTACAATAAATAATAATACAGTGATACCCCGAGTTTCAGCCGCCTCCCAACTCGAACAATTATGTAAGTATATTATTGTAAGTGCTTTTGTAAGTGTATTTTTGGGGGTCTGAAACGGACTAATCTAATTTACATTATTCCTTTTGGGAACAAATTCGTTCGGTAACGGCACTCGAACAGCCTTCTGGAACGAATTATGGCCGAAACTCAGGGTTACACTGTACATTTCTATTTCCAAAAAGTACACAGTTGTTACATAGTGAGGTGAAATTTATTTCGTATGTTTTGAAATGACTTGTTATTCAGGGCATTTCAGGCACACTAAAACGAGAACCTAAAACTGCTTGGCAATTCATCAGAAATGTGCACTTAAGAGAGAAAGTTTGTGATGTCTTAGTTTTGACTTGACAGTGGTTCAGGAGAGACTGAAATGTTGTTATAATGTTCCTCTCTTAAGTGCAGTTTTTTGATGAATTGTTTCAGCTATGGTATTATGACATTTTATTCCCTTCCAGATTATTGTGTATTGTATAACCCAATAGGAAATCTAAGGACTCCATTGTAAAAAAAGTAACTTTGTCAGACTTTTTTTTTGGGTTATCTTGGTGGGGTAATTTACATATATGTAACTCAGTATGATAATTGTACTTATGTGGACCTGTACCTAAGTAAACTCAATTATCAATGTTAGATTATAGTAATACAATAAATCACAGAACAGGTGGGGCTTGAACCCATGGCAAGTAAAAAAACACAGTCCTGTGTGTTTTAAGACTTGCTTGATGCTAGTTCAAGCCCCATCTAGTCCATGATTTGACATTAGATTATTAGAATGCCTAGTTTAATGTAATTAAGTTGTCTGGAGATAATGCCTGAAAGTTTCCCAAGAAAGTAGAAGTCTAAACTGACACTTGTGCTTTGGTTACAGAGAAAGGACTACACGTATAAAGGTCATGGTGATAGTGTTGACCAATTGTGTTGGCACCCGACACACTCTGAACAGCTCACCTCAGCCAGTGGAGATAAAACTGTAAGAATTTGGGATACACGCACCCATAAATGTTCTGCGACCATCAATACAAAAGGTAAGTGATGCAACTGTCTGATTGTTAAGTAACTAAAATCCCCAGGAACTATATAACCCTGCAGGGGTTATATAGTTCCTGGGGAGTGGAATACAATCAAATGTGATAAAGAGAAGAGATGTGCGGGTCCAGTTTCTTGGATCAAGATCCTGCTCACTGGCTTTAAGGAATTCTTGTGAGGGGACGAGAACAGGGGAGCACTGCAGTACCCCTGTTGGCCTACGTTCGTTGAATTCTCAGTGCATCCATCTTTTCTCTCAGTCTGCAAGAATAATCTGGACCTTCCTCTATTATAAACAGTATGAAGTGATCTGGATTCATATTGTGTATTTGATGCTATACCAGTTGCTGTGAAAGGCAAAAATATATTTGTCGTTTTTGGTGGAGGCAGTAATGTGAGTTTTCATCTAATAATGATTATATATATATGCGCTACAGGTGAGAACATCAACATCACTTGGTCCCCAGATGGCCAGACTATTGCAGTTGGCAACAAGGAGGACCTGGTTTCTTTCATTGATGTGCGCAGCCAGAAGATCCGTCACGAACAGCAGTTTAAATTTGAAGTCAACGAGTTATCCTGGAACAATGCCAATGATTTGTTTTACCTCACCAATGCACAGAGTGGTCAAGGATACATTCACATCTACAAGTTAGTTAAGACCTCCTATTTCTATAGCTTACTGTTCCTTTATACTGTCGATACACCAGATTGGTTTATAATTAGCTTTATAACTCTTGCTCATTTAAAAATGAAACATCCAGCTTGTAGAAGACAATCCCAGTCTAATGTTGGCCACAAAATCCTTTACTAGTTTTAAAAATTTATTACAAAAATTTGGTATAAGACAAGCAAATGCAGTTCTCTGCATACAGCAGCAGAATTATCACAACACAAAGTTCCCTCGTAGACGGGATGGGCATGATGGGCCCCCCATCAAATATTTCCTTCCTGCTCCTCTGATGTAGATACGTGGAGTGAACTGGAGTATTGGTTAGCTGTGTTACAGGCCACTAACTGCACATATTGAGTTTACGTGGATTAGACAAGCATATACAGTGGAACCTCAAATATTGAACTTTCTTCGGTCCAGAAGGCTGTTCGAGTGCCTTTACCGAATGAATTTATTCCCATCAGGAATAATGTAAATTAGATTAGTCCATTTCAGACCCTCAAAAATACACTTATAAAAGCACTTACAAAAATACACATACATCATTGGTCGTGTTGGGAGCAGTTCGATTTTTGAGGTTCCACTGTAGTTTTATACTTGTTTGCTATCATGTGCAATAAACTACATCTTCATATTTATTACCATTTTGTTGTAACAATTATTTAAGTCCATCTAAATAATTATAAAGATAAAGATACCCAAGAGTTGCACATGTGTCTAATTTATCAACATGTCGGTTCTCTGAACCATTCATCTACAAGTCCATCTATCCATGATCATCAGTCAGGAAGCTGTGTCTGGGACTGAACCATGGGGATGTACATAATGACCCATGGAATTAGAAACAGATGAGCAGCAGTAGCAGCGTTAAAAAAACTTGTACACTAATTTTATCCTACCCATAATGTATTTGCTAATTTTTCTAATCCACAGTTATCCGGAGATGGAGCTAGTTCACTGCATTCATGCTCATCCTGGCAACTGTATTTGTATCAAGTTTGAACCAAATGGGCAGTACTTTGCCACAGGCTCTGCTGATGCCCTCGTGTCTATCTGGGATGCGCAGGAACTCTACTGCCGCATGACATTATCCAGGTATAATATAGAATCTAACCAGTGTTGGTGTCTAATTATTTAGGTATAAGCTAGACCAGGGGTATTTAACCCTTAAACTGTCCAAATGTAGATCTACATTCTCTCGCTTAGTGCTCCGAACGTAGATCTACGTTTGATTTTACATGCTTTCTTATGTAAAAAAAACATAGATCTACATTTGGAGAGCTACGCGAGCGAACTTAGAGCTACGTTTGGACAGTTTAAGGGTTAACCTGCTGTAATATTAGCCCCATAGAAGAATTTTGCTTTTTTCTAGGGATTCAGGTGAAGCAGCTAGCTGGACTTTAGTCCTGGAGGTGGGAAGTACAGTGCCTGCACTCTGAAGGAGAGGGTGGTGATATTTACAGTTTTGAACTGTAGTATTGGCACCCCCTGGCAGGACAGTAATGGAGTGAGTGATGGTAAAAGTGTTTCTTTTCTTGGGCCACCCTGCCTTGTTGCGAAATGGCTGGTGTGTTTAAAAACAATTGGGTAATAGGGTAATTATAGTTATGTCTTCAAGCTCAAGTGGTAGCAATAGCAGTGCCAGAACTGTTAAATATCACTGAACTAAACCATATTATATCTGATTATTCAGTTATGAGGCATCTAATGTTAAATCTAAATACATACTGTTCTTAGGTAAAGTGTTATATTGTGCCGTGAACCCTTATGAATGAGTAGGTAAATCCCACATAAACATAAAATTAAACATCGAGTAGAATTGTTCTGTATATAGTGGACCCCCGCTTAACGATCACCTCCAAATGCGACCAATTATGTAAGTGTATTTATGTAAGTGCGTTTGTACGTGTATGTTTGGGGGTCTGAAATGGACTAATCTACTTCACAATATTCCTTATGGGAAAAAATTCGGTCAGTACTGGCACCTGAACATACTACTGGAATGAAAAAAGTTCGTTAACCGGGGGTCCACTGTATTTAGGACACTGTCAGAGATTCGCTTAGGCTCGTGTGCAAAGTGAGCTCAGTGATGGAAGCTAGTACAATTTGCCTCTTTTTCACAATTTTTATGTCATCTTTGGTTTCCACATACAATAGGGCCCCACTTATACGGCAGGTTAGGTTCCAGGCTTCCGCCGTAAAGCGGGGCCCTACTGTACTGCTTTGTTGCTGGATGTATTGTTTTTAGACCATTCTAGGAGACCTGGTTAACTTAAAGAGGCTCTGAATTGTGGCGCAAACACCCATGTTGCTACTTGGTAGACTGTACCCTTTAATAATGATGATGATGATGATAATAATAATAATAATAATAATGTTTATTTCTTTGTCATACAAAAATGCAGTTTGCATGAATAAATACAATGGTAGGCACAAAAGAAAGCCACTATATATGCACTGCATTTTGGGAAACTAATCATAAGGCTTACAAGTTACTTAAGAACTAGACATAGTTAGGACTACTTATGCAATTAATTAAATTAGAACTTCTTATGCAGTTAATTACATTAGGACTTCTTATGCAGTTAATTACATTTGGACTGCTCATGCAGCTAATTACATTTATAACATATGTTTTAGACTGTACCCTTTAGTATTGACACTAAAGAATAAGTCACAATACTGTGGCAGAAACATTTCTCAACTAACCCACAAACTGAGAATAAATCTTTAGACATTGTTTTGGTTGGTGCTGGACCATTATCAAGGTGAAAATGACAGAGAAACTGAGAGTAAACCATAAGTGTGATCAGGTGAAGAGGTCTGAAAAGTTTGTGTACAGATTTATCCTTGAATAACAAAAAAAGGCACAGTAACATGACTGGAACAATACACAAATAACCCACACATAGGAGAGAGGAGCTTATGATGACATTTCGGTCCGACTTGGACTGTTTACAAAGTCACACTAACAAAAATGAGAGGAGGAGGGAGTATATATAGGCCAGCAGACAGGGACAGTCCAAGTCGGACCAAAACGTCGTAAGCTCCTCTTTCCTACGTGCGGGTTATTTGTGCTTTATCCTTGAGCCTGGGAATGAGACCTGCCCTTTGCTTTCTTAGATCACACTTGATTACCTCTCATTCTCTAGCACTTCCCTCAGTCATGGTCACGGAACGGTCCGGGCCATGGGGGTGTTGACCCCCAAAACCCCCTCCAGGTACTGGCCATTTCCCACCGAGTTAGGGTGACCCAAGGAAAGAGGAAATGCATTCACTATCATTCATTCAAACACTATCTTGTCAGAAGTAAGCTGACATCAGAGTTCAGATGATCCTCTGAAGTGCAGAATCTTCATCCCTCTTTTAGAATGCAGTCATTGTACTACCAACCTTCAGGACTCCAGTTCCATGAATCCAGTTTCCATGAATCCCTTCACAAAACATTTCCTTACTCACACTCCAATAGCTCATCAGGTTCCAAAAAACATTTGCCTCCACTCACTCCTTTCTGACATGCTCACAAATGCCTGCTGGATGTCCTGTAATACTTAATAATAATAATAATAATAATAATAATAATAATAATAATATGGAATTATCTTATTTGTGGGTTAATTGTTAAGTAAGACCAATGTTGTCAAAATGATACAGTGTACAATGTGTACATAATTTTGATGTATATAACACAATGTTCTTTGAATAGTTTTATTTTTGTAGTCACAATAAATACTCCACAGATTAGAATGGCCGGTTCGCACCCTGAGTTTCTCTCATGATGGTCAGCTGTTGGCATCAGGCAGCGAGGATCAGATGATTGACATTGCTCACATAGCCACTGGGGAGCAGGTGGCACACATCAGTGTTGCATATCCTACCTTCACACTAGCATGGGTAAGGTCACTATACCTTCACACTAGCATGGGTAAGGTCATATACCTTCACACTAGCATGGGTACGGACACTATACCTTCACACTAGCATGGGTAAGGTCACTATACCTTCACACTAGCATGGGTATGGTCACTATACCTTCACACTAGCATGGGTAAGGTCACTATACCTTCACACTAGCATGGGTATGGTCACTATACCTTCACACTAGCATGGGTATGGTCACTATACCTTCACACTAGCATGGGTATGGTCACTATACCTTCACACTAGCATGGGTAAGGTCATATACCTTCACACTAGCATGGGTATGGTCACTATACCTTCACACTAGCATGGGTAAGGTCACTATACCTTCACACTAGCATGGGTATGGTCACTATACCTTCACACTAGCATGGGTAAGGTCATATACCTTCACACTAGCATGGGTATGGTCACTATACCTTCACACTAGCATGGGTAAGGTCACTATACCTTCACACTAGCATGGGTATGGTCACTATACCTTCACACTAGCATGGGTAAGGTCACTATACCTTCACACTAGCATGGGTAAGGTCACCCTACCATCACACTAGCATGGGTCAGGTCACCATATCTACACACTAGCTTGGGTAAGGTCACCCTACCTTCACACTAGCATGGATAAGGTCACTCGTCACTCTACCTTCACACTAGCATGGATAAGGTCACTCGTCACTCTACCTTCACACTAGCATGGATAAGGTCACTCGTCACTCTACCTTCACACTAGCATGGATAAGGTCACTCGTCACTCTACCTTCACACTAGCATGGATAAGGTCACTCATCACTCTACCTTCACACTAGCATGGGTAAGGTCATTCGTCACTCTACCTTCACACTAGCATGGATAAGGTCACTCGTCACTCTACCTTCACACTAGCATGGATAAGGTCACTCGTCACTCTACCTTCACACTAGCATGGATAAGGTCACTCGTCACTCTACCTTCACACTAGCATGGATAAGGTCACTCGTCACTCTACCTTCACACTAGCATGGGTAAGGTACATTAGCCTTATTAGTATTACATCATGTCATATGAGTGTAAAATAGGAAACTGGTAATTTTTTTTGTGCACTCTGGCAAGATTACTGATCTTTTCTGTCTCATTAACATGTAAGATGGCAGGTAGATCTTGCAAACTTTTTTGCATTAATTATACACATGTTGTTACTCTCCTGTGTGCTTCTTAATTCTGTAATATTTCCTTTCCAACCTAGGAGGCCTAGTCTGAGATTAGGCCTTGGGGAAGATAATAAATAACAGTACTCTTCCTTTAAGAGTGATGTCATGGTGCTGAAGGGCTTCTGATCCATTCTGTTGGAGCTATCTTGCTCTTCCGTGATTCAGACCTGTTAACTGCCCCTTTCCCAAGTGCTGTATGATCCCTACAGGTTTACCACTTCTTTACGAATGTAAAATTGATGATAGTATGTAATATTGTGGCTTGAAGGGACATCCGGACTATAGTGTTGGTACACCTCTGGCAAGACAGTGATCGAGTGAGTGATAGTGAAATTTTTTTTTTTTTTTTTTGGGGGGGGGGGGGTCACCCTGCCTCAGTGGGAAATAGCTGGTGTGTTAATAAAAAATAAACCCAAAAAAATAATATTGCTATGCTATATACCTTCACTGGGAGATGTTGTCCGCTCTTCCACTTACCCCATTATAATGAGTTGAGTGTCAGTTCCTGAAGACCCCTCAAGTGCCTTGATGCTGGTAAAAGCTCTTGATCCAAGGAAGAGGAGCTGTTATGCAGCATCCCCCCAATGAAAAGCAGGGGTGCCAGTAGCACGATAAGAGACAACACAATAAGTGTCAGGGGCCCAAGACTGCTCAGCTGCCTCCCAGCATACATATGGGGGATTATTTGTAGACCCCTGACTGTCTTCAAGACGGCACTGGACAGGCACTTAAAGTGCGGCCAACAGTAACAGCCTGGTTGATCAGGCACTGATCCACCGTGAGGCCTGGTCACAGACCGGGCCAGGTATACTTCGGGTATGAGAATTCTCTCTAGAAAAAAGTTTGATTATTTTGACTGTTTTCAGTATGTGATCTTTAACCCCTTAACTGTCCAAACGTAGATCTACGTTCTTACCACTAGCGCTCCAAACGTTGATCTACGTTCTTACCACTAGTGCTCCAAACGTTGATCTACATTCTTACCACTAGTGCTCCAAACGTAGATCTACGTTCTTACCACTAGTGCTCCAAACGTTGATCTACGTTCTTACCACTAGTGCTCCAAACGTTGATCTACATTCTTACCACTAGTGCTCCAAACGTAGATCTACGTTCTTACCACTAGTGCTCCAAACGTTGATCTACGTTCTTACCACTAGTGCTCCAAACGTTGATCTACATTCTTACCACTAGTGCTCCAAACGTAGATCTACGTTCTTACCACTAGTGCTCCAAACGTTGATCTACGTTCTTACCACTAGTGCTCCAAACGTTGATCAATGGTCTTACCACTAGTGCTCCAAACGTAGATCTACATTCTTACCACTAGTGCTCCAAACGTAGATCTACGGTCTTACCACTAGTGCTCCAAACGTAGATCTACATTCTTACTACTAGTGCTCCAAACGTTGATCTATGGTCTTACCACTAGTGCTCCAAACGTAGATCTACGTTCTTACCACTAGTGCTCCAAACGTTGATCTACGTTCTTACCACTAGTGCTCCAAACGTAGATCTACGTTCTTACCACTAGTGCTCCAAACATTGATCTATGGTCTTACCACTAGTGCTCCAAACGTAGATCTACATTCTTACCACTAGTGCTCCAAACGTTGATCTATGGTCTTACCACTAGTGCTCCAAACGTAGATCTACATTCTTACCACTAGTGCTCCAAACGTAGATCTACGTTCTTACCACTAGTGCTCCAAACGTAGATCTGCATTCTTACCACTAGCGCTCCAAACGTAGATCTACGGTCTTACCACTAGTGCTCCAAACGTAGATCTACATTCTTACCACTAGCGCTCCAAACGTAGATCTACGGTCTTACCACTAGTGCTCCAAACGTAGATCTACATTCTTACCACTAGCGCTCCAAACATAGATCTACATTCTTAGCACTAGTGCTCCAAACGTAGATCTACATTCTTACCACTAGCGCTCCAAACGTAGATCTACGTTTGGACAGTTAAGGGGTTAATAAATAAGACTGAGTTGCTTGCCACAGTGTTGAAGTTGAGGGTGTGTTGAGATGTGGGTCAACTTCACCAGTGTCTGACATGGCTGATGGGCTCTTGATGTAAGATATTGGAGCCTTGATGTGGGTCAACTTCACCAGTGTCTGACATGGCTGATGGGCTCTTGATGTAAGATATTGGAGCCTTGATGTGGGTCAACTTCACCAGTGTCTGACATGGCTGATGGGCTCTTGATGTAAGATATTGGAGCCTTGATGTGGGTCAACTTCACCAGTGTCTGACATGGCTGATGGGCTCTTGATGTAAGATATTGGAGCCTTGATGTGGGTCAACTTCACCAGTGTCTGACATGGCTGATGGGCTCTTGATGTAAGATATTGGAGCCTTGATGTGGGTCAACTTCACCAGTGTCTGACATGGCTGATGGGCTCTTGATGTAAGATATTGGAGCCTTGATGTGGGTCAACTTCACCAGTGTCTGACATGGCTGATGGGCTCTTGATGTAAGATATTGGAGCCTTGATGTGGGTCAACTTCACCAGTGTCTGACATGGCTGATGGGCTCTTGATGTAAGATATTGGAGCCTTGATGTGGGTCAACTTCACCAGTGTCTGACATGGCTGATGGGCTCTTGATGTAAGATATTGGAGCCTTGATGTGGGTCAACTTCACCAGTGTCTGACATGGCTGATGGGCTCTTGATGTAAGATATTGGAGCCTTGATGTGGGTCAACTTCACCAGTGTCTGACATGGCTGATGGGCTCTTGATGTAAGATATTGGAGCCTTGATGTGGGTCAACTTCACCAGTGTCTGACATGGCTGATGGGCTCTTGATGTAAGATATTGGAGCCTTGATGTGGGTCAACTTCACCAGTGTCTGACATGGCTGATGGGCTCTTGATGTAAGATATTGGAGCCTTGATGTGGGTCAACTTCACCAGTGTCTGACATGGCTGATGGGCTCTTGATGTAAGATATTGGAGCCTGATGCCAGTGAAAGGCTCTTGGTTCAAGGAACTGGATTTACTTTTCCGTTAAATCTGATTTCGTCCCAGGTACTGCATGAAACTTGAGGGTTTAGAGCTTCCCCCTGATGATGATGATCAATAATAAGAGTAACAATAATAATAATAATAATAATAACTAAAGATAACCTTCCCTTGGATCAGACCTGATTAGCTCCCATTTCCAAGGTTCTGCATAACCCTTACAAATTCATCATTTCCCCATGAATATAATAATAATTATAATAAATTCACTTAAAATTATAGTACACAGATCTGCTTCAGACAGATTATTATATCCAGAAATATATCCTAAACCCACATGGGTTATGTAAGTGGTTCAAAGCATCTGACGTTTATTCTACTGGGCATTACGGCTTATTGTGACCTATCAAGTTGCAGTTGCAATATAATGATTTCTGAAAGACTTAATGGAGATGGGAAGTACAGTGCCTGCACTCTGAAGGAGGGGTGTTAATGTTGCAGTTTAAAAACTGTAGTGTAAAGCACCCTTCTGGCAAGACAGTGATGGAGTGAATGATGGTGAAAGTTTTTCTTTTTCGGGCCACCCTGCCTTGGTGGGAATCGGCCAGTGTGATAATAAAAAAAAAAAAAATTAATGTATCTGATTTTTTATCATTTTTTGGCAACACACTTGATGATTTTTATTTTTCAGCTGATGATTTCATTTTGCTAAAATAGTCTGACAAGTTTTATCTGTTAGTGGTTTCAGGAATTGATATGATGCATGTGGTTTAGAAAAAAGACCAGTTGAAGAATGAGACTCTTACGCAACATTTTTCAAGACTGATAGACAGAACACATCGACTCCAGGCTGAGGGACTGATTACCTCAAACTCCTCATCTTCCACCGTTCTTCTCTGCAATGGACTGCAGAAGTCACAGGCTGGCGAAACATTTCTGTAGTACAGATTCCCAAATGTTGTACAAGTGTCTCCTCATTCTGAGAATGATCTTCAACACTGCCCGGTCTCAGACTAGGCCTCCTAGGTGGCAAAGGAAATATTATAGGATTAATAACTGCCTCGGTGGGAGATGGCCGACTTGTTAAAAAAAAAATAAAAAATAATAACTGTTGAGAAGTACATTCTCTGACCAGGCCTCTTAGTCTGGAAAGGAAATTTTATAGGATTAAGAATTGTTAAGAAGTTTGGCAGTTTGGAGGGATATGTTGTGTATCTTTATATGTACGTATATGTTTCTAAACTGTTGTATTCTGAGCACCTCTGCAAAAACAGTGATAATGTGCGAGTGTGGTGAAAGTGTTGAATGATGATGAAAGTATTTTCTTTTTGGGGATTTTCTTTCTTTTTTGGGTCACCCTGCCTCGGTGGGAGACGGCCGACTTGTTGAAAAAAAAAAAAAAGTACATTGGAACGTGCTACTCATTGTGTACAAACAATGTTCGGTTTTTGTCCGTATTTTTTCAGATACTACAGTGGACCCCCGGTTAGCGACATTTTTTCACTCCAGAAGTATGTTCGGGTGCCAGTACTGACCGAATTTGTTCCCATAAGGAATATTGTGAAGTAGATTAGTCCATTTCAGACCCCCAAACATACACGTACAAACGCACTTACATAAATACACTTACATAATTGGTCGCATTCGGAGGTGATCGTTATGCGGGGGTCCACTGTATATGCATCTAATTTTATTTCTCACATTGTAATAATGTTTGCAACACACTTATTTTTCTTCAGCATTGTTACATATTCACTTTATTTTCTTTTCAGCATCCAAGACACTTTCTTCTGGCATACGCTTGTGATGACAAAGATGATCGAGAACGCGACCGCGACGCTGGAACTGTCAAACTCTGGGGTCTTGGTGAGCGAAGTTGAGACAGAAGGCTGGAGCTGCTCAAGTGTTGGAGCTCTGTGAAAGAAGCTGAGATTCAGTGCTGGAACTTGCAAGTGTTGGGGTAGTAGTAAAAGGAGTTGGCGTTTGCTGAAAGTGTCAAGTGTTGGAGTCTTGGTGAGTAGAGTTGAGACTGTGCACTGGAATAGTAACACTGGGGCCATTATGAATTGATTCGAGATTGGACTACCAAGCTCCGGGGGTCCCTGTGGAATGAGTTGAGATTGTTTTCTGTAACTGTACAGTAGTGTAGTAAACTAGTAAACATGTCATTATGATTTCATGAGTCAGTAGTGTAGTACTGGGGTCTTGGTGCCTAGATTTAAAATTGTATGATGGAGCAATAGTGTTCCAGTCTTTGTGAATAGTGTTGAGATTGTACTTTCGGACTGTCAGGCTTTGGGATCCTTGTGAAAGGAGTTGAAAAGGTATGCAGGGATTGTTGAATATTTGGGTCCTTGCGACTGGTGTCTAATGCTTCAATTCTACTCTTCAAGTTCTGAAGATAATTTGATTTTGCTGTGTAGGTAGATAGGTAGTACGTAATTGCAATCACAAATCAACACTAAAATAGGAAATAGTTTAAATATTAAGTATTGGACATTACTGCTGGTAAAAATTAAAAATACATGTATGTATTTCTTAATAAGCTATTGAAGAAAGTTTTTATAATACATATTTAAGATACACTTTTGAGAGTGGCTTTTTGATTCTAAGTAAATACTTTATCTGAATTTAGTATCCTTTGAAAATAGTTACTTACATATTTTTGATAAATAAAATTGTCACCAATTACAAGAGAATGCTCAGCACTGCCATTTCATATCATTCCAGTTGTAATATGTGTTCATACCATATTAAAACAAATTTGTATATGAGTTAATTACTTCTTTCAATAAATTGGCCGTATCCCACCTAGGCAGGGTGGCCCCCCCCCCAAAAAAAAAAAAGAAGTTTCTCTTTTTAACTTTAGTAATGTATACAGGAGAAGGGGTTACTAGCCCCTTGCTCCCGGCATTTTAGTCGCGTCTTACGATACACATGACTTATGGAGGAAAAATTCTGTTCCACTTCCATACGAAGATCAGTTAATTACATTATGTACTGTAAAAATTTTAATTACCAGTTCAGGAATCAGATCAAAAGTTAAATTGGTCCCTCAGTTTAACTTTCGACCTGATGTGAAATTTATTATTATTATTATTATCACACTGGCTGATTCCCACCAAGGCAGGGTGGCCCGAAAAAGAAAAACTTTCACCATCATTCACTCCATCACTGTCTTGCCAGAAGGGTGCTTTACACTACAGTTTTTAAACTGCAACATTAACACCCCTCCTTCAGAGTGCAGGCACTGTACTTCCCATCTCCAGGACTCAAGTCCGGCCTGCCGGTTTCCCTGAACCCCTTCATAAATGTTACTTTGCTCACACTCCAACAGCACGTCAAGTATTAAAAACCATTTGTCTCCATTCACTCCTATCAAACACGCTCACGCATGCCTGCTGGAAGTCCAAGCCCCTCGCACACAAAACCTCCTTTACCCCCTCCCTCCAACCTTTCCTAGGCCGACCCCTACCCCGCCTTCCTTCCACTACAGACTGATACACTCTTGAAGTCATTCTGTTTCGCTCCATTCTCTCTACATGTCCGAACCACCTCAACAACCCTTCCTCAGCCCTCTGGACAACAGTTTTGGTAATCCCGCACCTCCTCCTAACTTCCAAACTACGAATTCTCTGCATTATATTCACACCACATATTGCCCTCAGACATGACATCTCCACTGCCTCCAGCCTTCTCCTCACTGCAACATTCATCACCCATGCTTCACACCCATATAAGAGAATTGGTAAAACTATACTCTCATACATTCCCCTCTTTGCCTCCAAGGACAAAGTTCTTTGTCTCCACAGACTCCTAAGTGCACCACTCACTCTTTTTCCCCTCATCAATTCTATGATTCACCTCATCTTTCATAGACCCATCCGCTGACACGTCCACTCCCAAATATCTGAATACGTTCACCTCCTCTATACTCTCTCCCTCCAATCTGATATCCAATCTTTCATCACCTAATCTTTTTGTTATCCTTATAACCTTACTCTTTCCTGTATTCACCTTTAATTTTCTTCTTTTGCACACCCTACCAAATTCATCCACCAATCTCTGCAACTTCTCTTCAGAATCTCCCAAGAGCACAGTGTCATCAGCAAAGAGCAGCTGTGACAACTCCCACTTTGTGTGTGATTCTTTATCTTTTAACTCTACGCCTCTTGCCAAGACCCTCGCATTTACTTCTCTTACAACCCCATCTATAAATATATTAAACAACCACGGTGACATCACACATCCTTGTCTAAGGCCTACTTTTACTGGGAAAAAACTTCCCTCTTTCCTACATACTCTAACTTGAGCCTCACTATCCTCGTAAAAACTCTTCACTGCTTTCAGTAACCTGCCTCCTACACCATACACCTGCAACATCTGCCACATTGCCCCCCTATCCACCCTGTCATACGCCTTTTCCAAATCCATAAATGCCACAAAGACCTCTTTAGCCTTATCTAAATACTGTTCACTTATATGTTTCACTGTAAACACCTGGTCCACACACCCCTACCTTTCCTAAAGCCTCCTTGTTCATCTGCTATCCTATTCTCCGTCTTACTCTTAATTCTTTCAATTATAACTCTACCATACACTTTACCAGGTATACTCAACAGACTTATCCCCCTATAATTTTTGCACTCTCTTTTATCCCCTTTGCCTTTATACAAAGGAACTATGCATGCTCTCTGCCAATCCCTAGGTACCTTACCCTCTTCCATACATTTATTAAATAATTGCACCAACCACTCCAAAACTATATCCCCACCTGCTTTTAACATTTCTATCTTTATCCCATCAATCCCGGCTGCCTTACCCCCTTTCATTTTACCTACTGCCTCACGAACTTCCCCCACACTCACAACTGGCTCTTCCTCACTCCTACAAGATGTTATTCCTCCTTGCCCTATACACGAAATCACAGCTTCCCTATCTTCATCAACATTTAACAATTCCTCAAAATATTCCCTCCATCTTCCCAATACCTCTAACTCTCCATTTAATAACTCTCCTCTCCTATTTTTAACTGACAAATCCATTTGTTCTCTAGGCTTTCTTAACTTGTTAATCTCACTCCAAAACTTTTTCTTATTTTCAACAAAATTTGTTGATAACATCTATCATATTTTTTAACCTCCGTGTAGGATCCACGAATGATTTGTATAGTATTTCTGGTACTTTTACAATATGTGATGATATCCTACTTAGTTCTGATGGTTTGAGGAAATGGTATGGTGATACCGACAAGATGTGGAAAAAGACACTTATGTACAGTTCAGGACATTTATTAAAGGAAACGTTTCGCCACGAGTGGCTTCTTCAGTCCTAATACAGAGAAAACTAAGAAAACACACATATATATAGTGGCGGGAGTCAGGTGAGGTGATGCCTGGGTAGAGGTGGTAGTAGTAGTAGTAGTAGTAGTAGTAGTAGTAGTAATGGAACTAAGGAGGTGAGGCAAGAGAGGGACCTGCTGGCATCAAGTAACACCAGTTCCCAGGATGGGTAATATCCTCTACTACTACTACTACTACTACTACTACTACTACTACTACTACTACTACTACTACTACTACTACTACTACTACTACTACTACTACTACTACTACTACTACTACTACTACTACTAACTACTACTACTACTACTACTACTAACTACTACTACTACTACTACTACTACTACTACTACTTACATAACTACTACTACTACTACTACTACTACTACTACTACTACTACTACTACTACTACTACTACTATACTACTACTACTACACTACTACTACTACTACTACTACTACTACTACCACCACCACCTCTACCCAGGCATCACCTCACCTGACTCCCGCCACTATATATATGTGTGTTTTCTTAGTTTTCTCTGTATTAGGACTGAAGAAGCCACTCGTGGCGAAACGTTTCCTTTAATAAATGTCCTGAACTGTACATAAGTGTCTTTTTCCACATCTGATGGTTTGGTTGTGTCAACTTCCATCAGGAGTGGATCTGAGTGGCTAACTGCCCACATTAGTGAAGGAAACGCATATTTTAAGCTTTATTGGAACAATCTATCTTTCCTACACACACAGTTTTTCTTCCCAGTAATCACATCATTTAACCCGTAAACGGTCCAAACGCATATATACGTTTTTTCAACATTTGAAAGTATGTAAAAAAAGTAGATTTTTTTTTTTTTTTTTTTTTTACATTTGAAAATGTGTAAAAAAAACTTTGATCTACTTTTTTTTTTTTGTTATATTTGAAAATATGTAAAAAAAACGTAGATCTACTCTTGTAGCACTACACATGTGAATGTAGATCTGCTTTTGTAGCACTACACATGTGAATGTAGATCTGCTTTTGTAGCACTACACATGTGAATGTAGATCTGCTTTTGTAGCACTACACATGTGAACGTAGATCTACTTTTGTAGCACTACACATGTGAATGTAGATCTGCTTTTGTAGCACTACACATGTGAATGTAGATCTGCTTTTGTAGCACTACACATGTGAATGTAGATCTGCTTTTGTAGCACTACACATGTGAATGTAGATCTGCTTTTGTAGCACTACACATGTGAACGTAGATCTACTTTTGTAGCACTACACATGTGAATGTAGATCTGCTTTTGTAGCACTACACATGTGAATGTAGATCTGCTTTTGTAGCACTACACATGTGAACGTAGATCTACTTTTGTAGCACTACACATGTGAATGTAGATCTGCTTTTGTAGCACTACACATGTGAATGTAGATCTGCTTTTGTAGCACTACACATGTGAATGTAGATCTGCTTTTGTAGCACTACACATGTGAATGTAGATCTGCTTTTGTAGCACTACACATGTGAATGTAGATCTGCTTTTGTAGCACTACACATGTGAATGTAGATCTGCTTTTGTAGCACTACACATGTGAATGTAGATCTGCTTTTGTAGCACTACACATGTGAATGTAGATCTGCTTTTGTAGCACTACACATGTGAATGTAGATCTGCTTTTGTAGCACTACACATGTGAATGTAGATCTGCTTTTGTAGCACTACACATGTGAATGTAGATCTGCTTTTGTAGCACTACACATGTGAATGTAGATCTGCTTTTGTAGCACTACACATGTGAACGTAGATCTACTTTTGTAGCACTACACATGTGAACGTAGATCTGCTTTTGTAGCGCTACACATGTGAACGTAGATCTGCTTTTGTAGCGCTACACATGTGAACGTAGATCTGCTTTTGTAGCGCTACACATGTGAACGTAGATCTGCTTTTGTAGCACTACACATGTGAACGTAGATCTACTTTTGTAGCACTACACATGTGAACGTAGATCTACTTTTGTAGCACTACACATGTGAACGTAGATCTACTTTTGTAGCACTACACATGTGAACGTAGATCTACTTTTGTAGCACTACACATGTGAACGTAGATCTACTTTTGTAGCGCTACACATGTGAATGTAGATCTACTTTTGTAGCGCTACACATGTGAACGTAGATCTACTTTTGTAGCGCTACACATGTGAACGTAGATCTACTTTTGTAGCGCTACACATGTGAACGTAGATCTACTTTTGTAGCACTACACATGTGAACGTAGATCTACTTTTGTAGCGCTACACATGTGAACGTAGATCTGCTTGGACCGTTTACGGGTTAATATTGTTTCTAAAAATTTCTCTCATTTGGTAAAGGTATATCTATACAGTATTCATGTTTTTATTTTTAATACCAAAATGTAGTCTGTAGTGATAGGAAATTAGTCATAATAGCAGTAAATTGATGTAGATACTAGCAGATTTTTGAGATTAAGTTGAAATTTTTTAATGCTAGCAGTGAATTAATAATGTGAGCAACTCCTCCTAATCACAAAATGGGTGGGGCTTGAACTCCTGGTCCTAAAACTCACAGGCCATTGTGCTAACCACTGGGGCAACTGGCTCTAATAAGATTCATCAAACTAATAAGATTCGCCCAACTCCTGGTAAAGATACCGAATAACCGCACAGTTTCATTGCTTTGTTAATCGTAACTTCAATGCTGTATAGTTTAGTAGAGAGACACTGGGTGCAGAGTACATCTTTATTACATTATGTGCTGAGTAGACGTTTGTCAAGTCTTGTAATAAAATTCTACTCGTCTTTCTACTTTGTCAGCAGTACCTGACATTGTACATCAACTTAATTTTATAACTTTCTCTGGTTCTAACTGGTGTGGCTTAACAAATTGCCAGTATATAGTAGTTTCAGACATCAGTGAAAGTACAGCTGTGGTGGCTATGTAGTCCTGCAGGTCACTAACAGCAACAGTGTAGTTGATCAGGCAGTCAGCAAGGCTGTCTGTTCATCATTCCTGATCAATAACAAGCCGTCCAGGGCCTTTAGCAGTAAATCTACCCCAAAACATCATCTTAGGTGGGTGTTTTGCTGCTTGTTGAATGTGTCAATTCCACTACCATCTCACTACCACTGATCTGTACCCATGTACTTCACTTCCACTGATCTGTACCCATGTATGTACTTCACTTCCACTGATCTGTACCCATGTACTTCACTACCACTGATCTGTACCCAGTTACTTCACTACCACTGATCTGTACCCATGTACTTCACTACCACTGATCTGTACCCATGTACTTCACTACCACTGATCTGTACCCATGTACTTCACTACCACTTATCTGTACTTCAAAATGTGCTTCATCTGAATACAGTGGAGCCCCGGTTAATGATATTTTTTCATTCCAGAAGTATGTTCAGGTGCCAGTACTGACCGAATTTGTTCCCATAAGGAATATTGAGAAGTAGATTAGTCAATTTCAGACCCCCAAACATACACGTACAAATGCACTTACATAAATACACTTACATAATTGGTCGCATTGGGAGGTGATCGTTATGCGGGGGTCCACCGTACATAACTTTTTTCCATTCATTTGCCGTCCAGCCCTTATGATCAAGTGCCCATCGCAGCCATTTTTTCTACATAGCAGCAGTTAATAATTGTTTATTTACTGGCTTTCTGGCAGTTCTGTTAACTTCAAGGAGCCTTTGTTGAACAGTTGAAGAAACTACATTTACACCAGCTGAAGCCAAATCTCTCTGTAGATCTTTTCTGGTTTCCTTGGGATCCTTCAAACTATTTCTTATGGTAGTCTTGTCAATGTAAGGTGTTTTCTTGCATTTACTTTCACATCTCCCTCGATGCAGCGCTCCACAATCACCAGTGTCGTCAGCTCTCTTCAGAATCTGACC